TTTCAAAGCAGGCGTGTCTAACTGTCAACAAATCCTTGTCTAAACTAAATAAATCGCCTTTGTAAAACACCTGTCTATATGACTATTTACCTTTAGTACAAGAACCGATTCCTTGTAATATTACAGGTGATGATCTAGCAAAGAGTTCGCACCGAAGGAATGAGGTCAAATTATTGACGTTACTCGGTCACCTCGGAAATTCCTTGGTTAAATGTCACCGTATTTTTGAGAAAAAATAATTCAATCATGATTGTTTGTTAGGAGGGGAATAAAGCAGTTCTTTTTTCAAATTCAAAGTCCTTTAGCTCTTGGCTAGACGGTACGAATTACGTAGACATTTTGATTCGCCTTAGAAATGCGGTTAATGACCTCACGTGGGCGAACCGATTGTTCCTCTTCGTCGGTAGATGTTTCGATTCGTTTATGGGAAGACATATTTCACCAAGCCAAAATTGTTTTCTTTATGGACAGAACAGTAGATCTTGTGCAATATTTGTTCTAAATGGTATACGTGGCAGTGTTGGGCAAAATTTAGTTAACTAATGATTGATGACTAATGATTGAATGTGTTAGTTATGATTGATGACTAATGATTATTTAGTTTAATCACGAGGTGATGACTAACGATTGATTAGTTTTAATCTTAATCAAATAATCATGATTATTTATTTATGATTAATATTTTTTAATACGAGGTAAGGTAAAATATTTTTTTCTGCTTCTTAAAAAAATACTGAATTGGACACAAAACGTTACTGTAGGTTAGGTTAGACTTTAGTGTTTTAGTTTAAAATTCAGTATTTTTTGGTGGTCAGATAAATAGATGCCCTGGTAAAATCTTATGATACGGAGAAATGGTTTTCAGTATAACGGGGTTTTTTGTAACACCTTCTATAACTTTAGTAGTTTTTAGGGTCCCGTACCTCAAAGGTAACTAAAAAACAGGAATTATTATTTAAGAGCTCTCATACAACAATCGTGATTTTTAACCGCTCGTTGGTACAGAACCCTAAGTGCGCGAGTCCAACACGCACTAGGCCAATTTATTTATTCTACTGATAGGCTGGTAAAATAAAATTACTGTTTCATTTGTTAAATCAGTTTTTATTGTTTAAAATTAAATAAAGATCAATCAGAACTAATTAAAATATTGAAAATATTGTTGAATCTAATTCTTAAAATAATTTAAATTATTCTTCATAACAACTCTGTACTCAAACATGTCATCTGATAATTTATGATTTTTTGGAAGATTTATCATTGTAGCAAATGAAAACATCCTTTCGACAGGTCCAGACGATGGCATAGGAGTATTATACTTTAAAAATACCTTTTTTATTAGTGGGTAGCGATTTAACAGAGATATATCTCGGCTTTCTTCGCTAAAAAAATTTGTCATTAATATTTCAGCCTTTCTTCTCGGAGAAATCGATTCATTGTCGCTACCGGAATCTGAATTAAAATCAAAGAAGTGGTCATGTTTATATGCATTGTCGGATTTGTTTTCAAGTTCAGCTTGTATTTCGCTCGCATTTTGATTAATTTCTAAGCAAATGGCAGTTTTGAACAAATGATTACACTTTTTATGTTCGGTGGGTTGAATACATGAAAACCATTTATTTTTGAATCGGGGATGACTTAAGGCTGCTACTATAGGGATTTCAGATCTTTCATTGGAAATTTCTAGGATATTTTTAAATCTGTCTAGTAAGCTTTGATTATATTTATTCACTAGTGGCTTGCAAAATTGTAATTCTTGTCGGGACAGTTTTTCCAATTTTCTACGTAAAGCCAATAGACAGGGTAATACAATGCCATAAAATGTATCATCACCTTGTAATATATCAAGTGCAGTAGCTACAGGAGCTGCACATTCTATGAATTCCTCTAAATATTCAAATTCGTTGTCGGTAAGCGGATTCTTGATACCTAGAGCTCGGCTAAGTTGCAAATTTTTTTGCTTAATTTTTAAAATTTGCTTAAGTGAGTCATATAGACTATTCCACCGAGTTACACCTGGTCTAGAAAGCGTATGTCCAAGTACATTTTTTATGATTTCAACAGATTTTGGTCGGCCAGCTAAATTCCACAACTCATTACACTTTTTGATCACATTGACATGCATATTTCCTAACACTGTCGTCTCATCTTGCAATAAATGTTTAATATCAGCACTTACTATCAAGTTTAACGTGTGAGCGCAACATCTGTAATGATCCGGTAACAAATTTCTTTCTTCTGTATCGTCTTCTAGTCTTTCGTCATTTAACATAATATCATCATTAAACAATGGATCATTAAAATTAGGTTGAATTTCGTCTTCACTTTCGCTATCAGTGCTGTCACTGATAGCAACGGTCTCATCGTCATTCGTTGAAACTAGTATTGACTTTGAATTTACTCCAAACATTTGGAACGCTTTTACGAAATTCGAGCCATTATCTGTTACTGTAGCCTCAACTTTTGATGTGTCCAGTTCAAAATCACAGTATATGTCCAACAACAAGTCTTTAATGCGATTAAAAGAATGTACGCCTTTAAATCGCCGGCAAGCTATAGAAGCTGATTTCCGTTCTAAATTTTGATCAATCCAGTGAATAGTAACTCCCAGAAAACTTCTTCTCTTTCCGGACCAGATGTCCGTAGTAGTGCAAAGATATTTTGCAGTTTCTAGTTGTTTTTTTAATTCACATTTTTGTTCATAGAAGTAATGTGCTATTTTTTTTCTAAGACATCGCCGACTTGGAATTTTAACATTATTGTTTGTGTACAAATTATCAATCATACGAAGAAAGTATGGATTTTCTATAGCACGTAAGGGTATCATGGAGTGAATAAAATAATTTACCAAATCACGTTCGAAATCTTCTTGGGAAACAGGACCCTTTACTTTCAGTGTAGCTACACTATTTATGCAAAAAGAGGTTCCAACTTTTCTTTTCTTTTGTTTTTTAGACACGTCCTGGTGCTTACGATATTCTTCAACTGCTGTAGATCCATGTATACGCTTCAAATGACTTACAAAATTTGAGGAACTGTTACGATGACCTTTGATATGGACAGTCTTTTTCGGTAAACACTTCACACAAATTGCGACCGTTTTAGAATCTGATGACTTTTCGGGAACATATTTAAAAAAGGAACCATCAAACACGACACTCTCACTTTGCGAATTGCTATCCAATGTCCCAAAACTAGCTTCATTTGCAGTTGAATTTGATGTTCCGGCCACAGAGTTACTTTCATTCAATGACATAACAGAGTCTTCTTCACTGACATTCATAATAATGATTTTTAATATTCAAAAATCATAGAAAAGTAAAACAGCGTGCGCGCACAAGCATCCAAGACGCTTGAACTGTAACTAAACATAAAACAAAACAGCAGACAGCTAGCGCGTGTAACATGTTTCAACCTGTCGGCGGGGTGCGGGCGGGGTGCGTGCAGGTTGCAAACGGGGAAGTCCGCCGCAGCAACGAACGCTGCGCCGCACAGTGGATCGACTCTACAAACGGTTGGACATTGGGATGCAAAAAATTTATTACTTGTTTTTCGAAAAGTAAATGATGTCATCGTATTGCTTTAACGATTATAAGACTAACTAAATTACACTTGTATTATTTTATTTATTTATTAATCATCTCAGTGTAACTGTATTGAACTTTATAAACACAAATAATATATTTAAGAAAGCTATATAATATAGGGTGTAAAGGATGGCTTACCAAAGTAAAACCATGGACCCAGATCATCATCCTAAGTAACGGACCGAAGGGATTTTTTCTCGGAAAAGAAAAAAATTTGGCCTTTCTATACATTATATTCTATTAGCAGCTGACTTTAATATTTTGTATGCAGAGTCAAAAATTGTTTTCATTTCCGTACCTAATTCCTTCAGTACTTTACTCAAGATAATGATCTGAGACTTCGGTCAGCTGATCCTTATACCCTGCATGTGTAGTGTACCAACACCTGTGCATCGAGCTTAGTCATACATTCATGATTAAAACTAATGATTGGTGATTTGCGATTAACGAATTTAGTCATGACTAATGATTGTTCTCGTTAGTTATGATTAAATTAGTCATGACTAAATTAATCATGATTAGATCAATCATGATCGATCAATTGATTGAATAAATTAGTTGATTTGCCCAACACTGACGTGGGAGAAGCATTAGATGTAGCTATAAGTGGGGTGGCTGATTGGTCGACTGCAACGTCCAAACGTCTCAAATGAACGATAAATTGATTAAATTACCGCTAACCTTGGTTGACCCTCGCCTAGTAACTAAATTGATATGGCATTAGGATGTTGACCATTTTAGTTTACTAAGGCGTCTAGTGACAGTTTTATCCTTCACATGGGAAATTCAATTTAGCGGAGACCAAAATGCAGCCGTATAAATAAATATTCAAAATTAGAATGTAATGTGAAATAACTTTCAAATCCCCTAGTAATAGACCAAATTGGACTTTTTAATAAGGGTGATCTATACTGGGTGTAAACAGGATGTTCCCAAAACGCTGACAAAAAATTGTGTACTTATACAATTTAATCGTTTTTGTTGACGTGTTATTCCTACAGCCTGGAGCGGTTGATCACAACTATTATTATATAAAAAAAACCATTTGATTTGTCTGCAAGGTTAGTGCGGTGGCTGGGTAACTGGCTGCCGCGCAGCGTGTCGCGGGCTCGATTCCCGCACGGAACAACTCTTTGTGTGATCCACAGTTTGTTGTTCCGGGTCTGATGTCATTTGTATGTGAACGTGTGTGTTTATAAACGCACCCATGACAGGAGAAAATCCCAGTGGGCGGCAACTTTTTTTAAAAACAAAAAAAAGAAAAGAAAGATATCTTACTTTTATGAAATTTGTTTTTACGATCACCTGCCGCGCCCCCCTAATACAACTAGCGAAAAATGAGTTTTACATTGAATATACGCGTCTCAACTTACTCTATCGAAGATAAAAGACGAACACAATAATTGTTCACAGGTACGTGTACATATTCTGCGAGAAAGCAGAGAAGAACGCCAAAGGTGGATGGGACTACGAAGTGAAGCCCTACAAACCAGCTGATTTTCTTCTGCAAGATATTGCACAGCGCCTGAGCAACGCAAAACCTCTGTGGGACGCGTTCGTTACTGAGGGTAAGAATAGTTATTTTTCTTTTGTAAAAAAGGCTTTAAGGCTATCCTTGGTACCTTGGTTTTGATGGAATAAGCAATTAGCGTCGCCAATGGACAACCTAAAACATAATATGACGTCAACAATGTAATGACGAAAACTCATGGAAAACTGTCGTAGTAGATTGTCGAAAATACCCAGATATTATCGTCATACATTACAATGATTTGTATTACCGTAAATTAAAGGGAAATGAAAAAACTTGTATAAATAATGTTACATAAACCTACTAGCAATGCTGACGTGGGATTATGAATAATTAAAAAATAACTAACCATGTATGGACATTGGGCATCTTTACGAGGACAACTTAATTGCATTAAAAGTGTGGGTGAACTACAAATGGATTTTCAAGTGCAGAATATATTGTTAAAAATAAAGTGTTGAATAAGCGCATTAGGTCATTTATTTCCCTCCTTCTCTTTTTAATGTCTGAGTACTGCTTGTTTTGGTATTCAATTGACTGCCGTAACCGAAAGATGTTTTATTTGACCACATTGATCCTAAATACACAATGGTGATTGACTTGGTATTCTTACTAGCTTCTAACAGCGATTTCAGCGATAATAGCCCGTGTGTTATTAGAGCTAGGTTACAATTTAATTAGTGTCATGTTTTATCTAAATTCGTTCAACAGATTTTATGTCAAAAATTAACAAATATGGTGTTAGTAGAATAGTATAATATTTGTAAGATTAAGATAATATTTGTAAGATAAGAAGTATACAGGGTTTCAGGGTAAGTCGACCTAAATCCTTTAAGAGGTGATAGTATCCATTATTCTTAACTGATTTGACTAAGGAACCCCATATCCCAAACTGAACCGTTCTCAAGATATGGGCCTTAGTATTAGGTACTTTTATAAAAATCCAGATTTTGGTGGATTGCACCCATTTTTTTTTTGTGTCTCAAGTCTGTTTTTTGCTATTTTTCTTTATAGAAGATTAGTTATTTTATTATTTGAGACCATGAAACTGCAAGTGACTTTACCAACAGAGGCGTAAAGTCTAAGGCCGATATCTTGAGAACAGTTCAGTTTGGGATATGGGGTTCCTTAGTCAAATCAGTTAAGAATATGGATACTATCACCTCTTACAGGATTTAGGTCGACTTACCCTGTAACCCTGTATACTTATTCTTTTTAGGAAAATACAATAAATAATGAAGCGCGAAACCTTAACAAGGCAGTCAATATGTGCATAAATAACATGACCTATTTCTCAGTTACCTTAGAACGTTGTTATGTTCGCAATATTAACGCAGATTACAGTGTTTCTAAAACGGAAATATCTTTATGAGTTGTGAGCAGAGCTGTTAAAGATAATGGTGTTTGTTTTAAAATTCCTTGCATATTTTTATCTGTGCAAAGAAAAGGTGTGTTTAGGTACACCATTGTGTCAATAATATGGAAATCAACACTGGTTGCTTTTCCTCAAATAAAAATTTTAACGACAATTACCTATATGATTGCATTTCGACAATTATAAACTATTATCAACTTATTATTATTATCTTACCGTCATCTTCTTCATTATCCCTATTAAATTGAAAGTCGTATAAACGAAAATTATACCTATTCTTATTATGGTAAACGTGTTACATATTTGCTTGAGAGGACTTACTAAACATAAAGCAGTCTAGTGCGATAAGATACGGAGGATGTTCCTAGTACACAGGCTTAAATATCGTTATTAGTCCAATCTGATATTAAATCTTAAGACTATTAACATTAATTCTAAAATAGAGAGAGAAATTTTGTGAGGCTAACGTCACTTTATATATTGACATTATGATATTACGCACGGTTGCAACTTTAATGCAACAGGACGGTGCTAGAGGCAGCAACAATATAAATAGTATTTCTATTTTTTAGCACATTTTTAGGAGGATTTTCCTCATAGCGTGTACAGATTTTGGTCATGTCCTCATGTCCTGTGGCCCCTGTTCGGACGGCACCTACATGACATCACGTTGAACATATTAAAAAGAACTCTTAATACTTCGTAACATTATTAAAATCTCTTCAGTTCATTCATACGCATATTGACAAAGGACACGGGGGTCGCCGATTTACCTATTCCATTAGATCATTCGTTCAGGAGTAATATGAATCATACCATCCATGTTTTATATGACATTACTGCGACTCACTTTTACCCGCAATACTGTAAGTACTATACTACTTACGATTTCTCAGAAGGAAGGGCTGCCTTGATAAAAGTAAAAATAGGGGAGAAGTTATCACATTCATACAATCTCAGAATGATGCGAACCTTTATGATAAAACTACTATCAGCCGATTATTTCGTTGAAGAAAATTGCAACTTTTACGGAGTTACTCAATACTCACGAACCAACTAGCGCAGTGCAGGACGTCCACCCACAAGATGAACGGATGACCTGATACTTAAAGGTCATAGGTAACCACTGGGTGCAGGCAGCCTCCTACAGGTCGATGTGGAAGTTGTGCAGGTCTATTTTCAGCACTGGACATCTTGTGACATATGTATTATTATTAAACACCGTGAAATCTATTTGGTTTTCGTCCCGAAGTAAAATAATTCTGTCTCGGCAATATAATAGATTTACAAAGAAATAAAATATTTAAAACAAAAAATAACTGTTGAATCACTGCAAAAAATAAACTTCGAAAGCGCATACGAACTCATAGACATGTAATTCTAGTCGTCGTCGTCGTCCGTCTAGTGTATGACATCTTTATTTTTTATTTTTTTTAAGTAGGTACATCGAAAGTACTCCTTGTGGCAAGTGGTTTTGCGGCGGGACGAAAACGAAATAGATTTCACGGCGGGGGCTTAGGAGTTGAAGTCCCTTAGGCCTTTTATAATTTTAAAAACTACGAATAGTAGAAATATACTACTAAAGTATAATTTTCTCAGTTCTTTTACACCAGGAGCATAGCTAGCGCCGTATCTGCCGTATCAATTATATGGGGCCCCCGTAATCCGGGAACCTCCAACGTGTAAGCAAGAATATAAAAACTTCTCAATTTATTCCATGGCAGAAACTTTGGAAAAAATAAAAAGTAATCATTGTCCGATAATTTGGACAGAGGGAGATGTGATGGACAGAGGGAAATGTCTTCCGAGAAATATTTACCTTTTATAAGGGCCTCCAAATACATTTTTATACGGGCCCCCGCCAAGATACGCTACGCCACTTTTCTTACACCGTATTTAACTTTCCAGGTTTGGAACGACTTCGAGGCGTGCCTGGGAGATGGGAAGCTCCGGAAGGTGCCACAGACAGACTCTGCGTGGACATCGGCGAAGGTGCCTTCATAGAGGTGTCACATCCAGCACCACAAGGAGACCAAGTGTATGTTTTCGGTTATTTTCTCTTGTCTAAATCTCAGAAACACGCTCTTTATTAAGTAACTTACTTACTGACTGACTGATACTTCGTATCGCCTCAAAAAATCTTTTTTTACCTGAGTGATTTGTCACCTTGAACATTTTAAGACCTAAAATTCCATGAACATTTCAAGACCAAAATATGCCAAAATGCCAAATCGGTTCAGTCGTTCTCGAGTTTTAGCGAGACTAATGAACGGAAATTAGTTTTAATACTAAAAATAAAATTTAATATACTAGATTTGTTAACAAACATCGGGTTTCGCGAGTCATTTTTTTTAAACTATAATTGCGTTGGCAAGTGCCCTAAGATTTAGCTCTCGAGTCGAGTACTGTTTATAGACTTTTCGATTTAGAACTTCATAGTTGTAGTGTAGTAGTCTTGAATCATATCCCGAGCGTACGGCGCGTCAGGTTCCGCGCACGCTTCAAAGAGCCATCAGACCACCACAGATGGCCCAACAGGGCCGATGCCGAACCGGAGTCGCGGAGAACCTAACGGGTTACCGAGGCTCCGGCTCGACGTGCAGGAGAAGGAACGGTGTGGTTTTTAGTCAATAAGAGTCTGACACTCCCTCACGCCTCACCCAGGCGGGAGCAGTCATTCGATGATTTTCCCCCTTAAAAAAAAAGTATTGAATCATATTGTTTAAAACTCAATTATAACTATGGCAATTGACGATTGACTTAACAACGTAATCCTAGCTAATAAAATAGTTTGAGCCTTGATATTCGTGCAAAAAGATATCAGTTATACAGTTCGATTTAGGTCAGGTAGGCAACATTGTCCGTGAAAATATGTTTAGTAAACAATCCGAGCTAATTCTGTAAAATTCTTATAAAACATGATTCATTCTACAAACAAGGTTCATGTTATGCACTCTTATGTCAATGAAACGTGTTATTTATAACTGAATTTGTTTCCGCAAGCACATAAATATCATAAATTCCCATTCAGACTAAATGGGTAATCCCAATAAGTGCATAAATACGATGTTATTTATTAAGATTAAATAAGGAATAAATATAATTATTGGAAATTAATATGAAAGGAAAATCGCTTTACAATCCCCCATGTTTGCGTATATACAATTTGTTATTTATTAAGATTAAGTAAGCAATAAATAGAATTATTGGAATTAAAATACTTTTGGAGGAAAATAGTATCGTTGAGGCACGATTTGTATTTGCCAAGCGTAATGTAAATCAGTTTCAAAGCTTTTATCGGCTTTTATGACGCACTTTGGTTTGTTTATTTAATTTTATTATTAATATTATTTAAATTGAGAGGCCCATAATTATTATATCACATTTAGAGCCCGGGTGTAGGTACAGAATGGTAAATAATGGTACACGGGCAAAGGAGAAATACCGCGTTGGTTTTAGCCTATAAGAGTCCGACACAAAGGTCGTGCTCACAAGGTGGGAAGTCAATGAGGATTTACATCGCATTACAAAAAAAAAATTGTACACTTTGTACCATTATTTTTATACTGTTTACAGCCAGCCATGTTATGTACTATGTATATGAGAAAATTAATATTGATTCAATACACAGACAATAACCGTTTACTCAGTAGCTTTAACTTTATAACTCCGTTTAAAACAATTGTAGACAATAACTACTGTTTTTGTACTGAACCAATCTTTATTTTCTTACTTGCATAGCAAATAAGTGGTATGGTTATACATATATTTGCAACTAACAAATATACAATAGATAAACAATAGAGAAGGAATAGGGAAGAACAATATGAAAATTAAAAATCTAATTAGTTCGTCAGTCAGGTAATGAAAAAATACTAGACATAATATATTTTTTTATTTTGTATTATAAGAAAAAACTGGCTTCGTCATTCTTGAGTATAATAATTATACCTAACGTACACAAAAGGGATCATGCGATATTTCAAATCAATATATTGTCGAAAGGGTTTGATTCCTTAAGAAAATAAAAAATACGTGTCTAATGTATTTATTAAATAAATCTACCAGACGGACATTCAAATAAAAATTAGTCATCTACCCTATCACAAAACATCTCTTCATTCTTAGACACCGTATTTCCAATCATTTCTCCTTTCAAAGAATATGCATGGATAAGTTGAAAATGGAGTCCTAACTCCGAATTTCTTATTTCAGTGACAGGGTTGGCAGTGGTCTTCGCGTTCATCTGTCGCCGGTAGCGGGCGGCCGTGCAGTGAGTGGTACTGGTGAGGCACGAGCGGCCTTCGCTGCGCATGCGCGAGCCCTCGCCTACGACTGCGAGCTAGACGCCGTACTCGACAGTGTCGTTGGAAACAGGAAAGATTGCTTCGTTTCTATTCGAGGTAAGATTCATTAAACATTGTTTGTTTTTTTATTGGTATCATAAGAAGCCTATACGATAAGTTCTACGGCTTGTAGTCATTGTTCAGCTGATAATAAAAAAATATTAAGATAGTATGTACTAATTATTTTATAATTTATTTTTTTCAGGCATATCAGACTACCGCGACGGTACTCGTGGCAAGGACTGGCAGCCTCACGCGGCGCTCGCAGCCGCCGCCGTTATGAAAGCGATCGTCGCTGCAATGCCGCCCCCTACCGACTAAACGAAACGATCACTACTACACAAGTATTTGTATGGCATTTACGTAGGAAAATCTAAATTATGTATCACTTTCTTAGCTGCTCTCACAGAGTAGTCGAATGGAGTTTAAAACTTGCGCCATATTATTATTTGAAACTAATTTAACATTTCTCAAACATTACAGTATCTTATACCATGGAGTATAAATTATGATCACAATATAGTGTTAACGTTATCTACAAAGAGTAGATATTACAAATTCTACAATACAATATGTCTGAACACTCCATTCTTTGATTACTCTGTGTCACTTTATTTTTAACATTTGATGACGAATGTATTCACGGCAATAATTTACGATGTTTACTTATCGTACACGTAAACAGTATTTTTTCGGCTTCAGTATAGTTAATCACACGTATGTCTAATTTGAACCGTATTTCTTAGGGTGTAAAGTTGGTTTTTGAAATTACACTTATGTTTACGTGTGGTTGGCTTTGAGTGCACGATATTGTTTGGTCTTAACGTAATAAAAAATAAGGTATTATAATAAACCATTCCAAAATCTCATACTTTAGCCTAATATGAACCTTTAGAAAATATTTAAAAATCGAATACACTGCAGTGTTGCAAGATGAGAAAGTAGATTTATTAATAGTGTTGCAATATCTATCTGATATTTAAAATCGTTTACCCGTATAAATAATTACCACTTAAAAAATAATATAAAATATTTGAGAGAATTCGATCTGTGGTAGTTATTTATTATATCTAAGTAATATCTAATGTACAGGTTTACTTGCCTTAGCGTCGGCTGTTATAAAAGTAGTGAAATATTATTATTATTATCTTACTATTTAATAGATATTTACAAAGTAATAGGATAGTTCTTTAATAGTGCTAAAGTACACATAGGCCTTTATGAAAATAAAAGTTATTTGTGTGGAAAAATTAAAAATATTGTAGAAAAAATCTTCCACATAATGTCCTAAGGACAAACATTTTGTCTCTTGTGTACAGACGACAACAGGGTCAACCTGCCATGGTCTGTGAATTTCCTTTATTACATTTTCGACTTTATTTCACTTCATATAAAGTCGAAAATCCAATGACATAAATTGATAGATTGAGTATGTTCATCTAAAAGTAGTAAGTACTTTCTGACAATTTTGTTTATCACTTTTTCAACTTTAGTATTTTGTTACAAAGTCTTCTGTCAAAAATTTAATGAAATCTATTGATCAATTGAAGTATGTTAATCCTCTATCACCTGTTATTTTTTTCATTAGATTTTACACTTTAATGCTTTGAAATAAAGTCCAAATCCAGTGAAATAAATTGATCAAATGGAGTATGTTAACCTACTGCATACTTTCAAAATGTTACTAGATATTCAACTTTAATATCTTGATATAAAGTCGAAAATCCAATGAAAAAAATAATAATAGATTGTCTGTACATAAAGAGAATCAGCACCAATTTCGTTGAGACTAATACTAAATTATTTTAAAGACTGTTGACGATTTCCAATTCAATGGTACTATTACTTCGAAATACTGGATTTTATTTAGTAGTAATGCATGTTGAGTTTATAGCTTTCTGTGTTGTGTTGTGTTGCCAAAACGATAACCATAAATAAGGGCTCAAATATTTAAAATGTCTTCCTTCATTTACAGTTGAGATTAAAGTAAAATTATTTTACAATATTTCAAATAAGTTACCAGTTTTCAGATTATTACTATTAGGCTAGTTTTAGTCTGAGGCTGACGTACGCGCACCGTCCACGCTGATTGGCTGAGATATATGAACTTCAAGGAAGCGTTTTTGAATGACGCGTAGATATCTGCGCCCACGGGTCCTAGAAGATCATATATTTCGGCTGCCAGCGCCGACGGTCAGCGCGACCCTAACACCAGCCTTATAATCCCAGTTCGTATTATTGTCATATAATTTATTAGAAATTTTACAGTATTGCCATGTTACACCTCGAAAGATATTAGTGTTGCCAATATTACAAATTACACTTTGCCCGAGCTTAGAATGTACCTTAGTATAAAATAAATAAATTATAGCTATATATCTAATATTTCAACAAGTAATTTATTACGTTATTTATGAATACTAACTCACTGCCATCAATGGCCTATTTATATAAATATAAGATTAACTTTGTTATTGGTCGATGTTATATAAAAATGTGTAACACATATTTAGAAACCAAAGTTTAGACGTTTGGCTGTTTTTTGACAACCTGGTCTAGTCGCCTAAAATGTAAACATTTTGTTGAAATATTTTATTTACACGTAATTATTAAGAATCATTGATCTATATGTAAATTGTGAAGTCGCATAGTTTTATTCTCGTTGATGTTTGTGAACATATTTTCATCTTTACGATCGAACTCTCATATTTCATATTTGTTTTAAATACCTATGATTGGGGCCATATTTTCAAAATGTTGACATTCAATTTTAAATTGTATAAATACTTGTTTGCTTTTATTTTAGTGTGTTAAAATAGTAATTGTAAAATCATGTTAAATTATTTTAATTGATTGATATTATTATTTCGTTTAAACAGTTGTTAGTAGTTACTGTTTAGCAAGCTATTTTATTGTCAGTCTATTGTATTGCACAAATAAAATCTTTAAAATTAAATTCCGTTTTTTATTTCAAACAGGTTCGTGGCTCGCTAGGTCAAGCTAGGAGAGTTGTGGACAACGTGGATTTTTTCTGATAGTGAGGATAATTTGATAATTTAGAATATTGGTTGCGTTCCAGCCTGATTAAAAATCTTGCCATATCTCGAAATTTTCGTCATCCGCTATTGTGATCGAAGGACAAGGTGGAAATGACCTTAGGAGGCGGTAGGTCTATTTATAAAATCTCAAACAACTGCTCCTTTCGTTTTCGTGTGTGCCTAATATGATAGGTTTTCGAGGGCACTCGATTATTTTTGAATAACGCTCACTCCCACCCTGTTCCTAGATAAGAAAACATGATTTTACGGAGGGTGTTTTACGGGCGACGAATATGGCGTTATTTAGTTGCTAGGACGTCAAGATTTCGAGATAGGTATCGCCAGAGTGATATCAAGCTGAGACGCATCAAATCCTAAGCAATCATGTTATCCTCGAATATTATGACAAGCTGTAAAGCTAGGTTTGAGATTTCATGAGTAGACCCACTCCCTTCTAAGGTCACTCCTACGACGGTAAGAGTGACATCCCATTTTTTGGTTCGGATCGAGTTTGAAACAATCGAGTTACGCTCGATCGTTTTCAAGTAAGTACTGACATAACGTTTGAGCGTGATCGAGTAACACTCTAAGGTGATCAAAGACGATCGACCATTTTGGTGGATGCTCGATTGTTTACGAGGATACTCGTTTGTTTTCGAGTAACGCTCAAAAGTGATCGAGGACGATCGATCGGCGCCGACTGGACGCACAGTAGAGGATCCTGCGCGTAGCCGTACGCTGGTACCTACATGTGAAAGATAGGTAGTGTGAAGAGCCACTTATAAGTCTAGGGATAGTTAGAATATGAGGCAAGCTTGAGGTGGATATTGAAAACAAAAATCAGACATAACATAATAACACGCCTGTTACCCCGAAGGGGTAGGCAGAGGTGCACATTACGGCACTTAATGCCACTATGCAATCTAACACCCACTTTTCACTATATAAGTAATGAGTCCCATGTAATATGGGTGGGCCTATTGCCATATACCAGGCACATTTCCAGACTCCGTGCTACTACTGATTTTTTTTTTAAACCCAACAATACTTTGCCCGACCCGGGAATCGAACCAGAGACCCCTTGCCCGGCAGTCGAACTAGCGACCACTAAAGGCAGTCAACAATCAGAATGTAAATAAAACAAAAAAATAAACAGTAATTGTTTTATTGCCTTACGAACTAATAGTTACATTGTTTTCGCATTAAAAGGAATGTTGTACATTACAAATACTAAGTGTAATTAGGTATCAATCCTTGGTTACAAATATATTTTTACATCGGACAAAATATGCGTAAAGGTAACAGTCCTGTCAGTCTATCCACTTCTGAATTATTCTGAAATACAAACAATTGTATTATCTTTCAATACAAAATAATATTATTGTGACTAATGATACCATAGCCCAACCATTGGATTAAAACTATACTAAAAACACTATTCATTAAATTAAATATGTCACATATTGTAGAGATTTTTAGATAATAATGTCATGATAACAATAAATATAATGCATTGCCTACAAAACAGTGAAATATTTAATCTCATCTAAGGTAAATTGGAGACACAATGGAGAAGTGCCATAGTAACAACTTGTAGGTAACTTTATTATCTATGACTATGTGATGATACTGAGAGCGATGTCGTTAATAAAAGCTCTGCTCATGCAGGAAATGTTAAAAAGGATTACTGATAGATGATAACAAGATTTAAAAAACTAAATACATTGTTGAGCATACGTAAAGGTTCAATATATATTTTAATGGTGAACTACAATTTGTTTATTGTTTTTTTTTTTATAATTGTATTATATTAATTTGTTTTATTGTTTATTATTGCTATTTCTATTGATTTCTTCGGTATTATTACTTTTTTTTTATTGATTTTGATCTTACCAGACCACCGAGACGGTGTTGTTATTTCTTTTCCTGCCACAGGCCCACAGGAAGAAATTCCAGTTGGAGTATGTGGGGCCTATGTACTCTGTTTTTATATATGTATTGTCTTCTGTGTTGAATGTGTGTATATAAATAAATAAATACAATAGATATTTTTGTTTATCACAGTATTGAGCAAACATGTTGTCATCTACATTACATTGCAAAATATTTTTATTATTTAATTAATTGAGTTTGTGCTAAGAGACAGATAAAAATATAAGATGCTTCTTAACTACATCTACATGTCTAAATAAATGTATGGGACTTATTGTCACAAATGATTATATAAATTATGTTATTCCGAAACTCCAATACCAATGCTGAAGGATACTGGATAAGTTATTCATGAATACATGAAATCTTTTGTATAAGAGCCTCATAGCAAAATAAACTAGAGTGGCAAAATAATAAGGGTTAGATTACAATGATATCAGTTAGTATGTGCCAACACAAAAAGCAAGGTGTCATAATGAAAATACTGTTACTTGCATCAGTCTTAGAAGCATGGCAGCTTTGTCTGACCATCTATGTTATTGTTGATCTTCTATAATTTTACAAAAACACAATTATTACATCGCACGACATCATAAATACAATAGAAAGTAAACAGTCATTCAGTAAACAATTAGTTTTTAAATAATTAACACTAGAAAGACGGGAGCAGTCATTTGACCGCAATTTGATTTTAAATGTTGAATAACTTAAAAACAATTTGAGTTATTTTACTGAGACTTTGTGACTTTTTTTTATTTTACTAGTTAAATGTAATAATGTTTGAAAATAAATCACAACTCTTTTGTTTATTATTTAAAATGTTGATCTACCTACAAAGACGGCGGCAGTCATTTGACTGCTAACAACCGATAAGTGTTTATAAGTGTAATATGAGAGGGTAGAATACAAATTATATACACTAATTCATTGTTCATAGTCTGTTTATCAAATGAAACCGTATCATTTCAAGTGCTTGTGAACTTTTATGAAATTATTGTAAGTATTTCGTGGTCGCAACGTCTTGGAGTCTTGAAAATGAAAATTGTTTGTTAGTTCTAAAATATTTGTGAAGATGAGTCTGATTGTGACTCTGAAAGTACAAAACGTGATAGCAACGACAATTATGCGGTACTACTTGTCAGTTCGAGTTCCTCTACGGAAGGAATTGACCTGAAAGACCAGATACCTCGAGCATATTTATCAGTCGTTGACAGGTCGTAAATCTCGTAGGTGTAGTCGTTGCTATGGTAGTGATAAAGGCTCTGAAAGGAGTTTGGAAGATCCTGAGCATCAAGGTCTTTTCATAACTATCGACTGTATCTTGTAGACACCTCAGATGGCATCTACTCTAAGTGGTCAAATATCGGTAAATCCGTTGATACAGATGCGTCTTGTGAAACTTGTTGCAAATACTGGTCAAAATGTTAGGAGCATCTCAAAGGTGAAATAGTTTTTTTTTCACATTTTTGAGATCTAGCAAAGATATAATTTAGATAATTTTTTTTTTAGATATAATTCCTTCATTTAGTATAAGAAAATGTAGAATATTACATGAAACGAAGGCTATTTAGACATAGTTCAGGGAGCGAACTTAGCAGCAAAGTACAAAATTGAAGAAGACTCTCTGAAAATGAATCCTTGCCTGCAGAGTATAGATCTTTTACTTCTCAATCTTCTGCTCAAAATCCAGATATTCCAAAATGTTATATACAGAAATGCAAATGCAAAACCATAAAGAATGTGACAACTGTAAAAAGCCACTTTGCGGCTCTTGTAACGTAAATAAAATGTTAAAATGTAAAAATTCTACATAAATTACTTACTTAATAGTATATTATATCACGTATAATACTATAGGTATCATTTCTAGCACTTAAACATAAAAAAATATCAAAAAACTTGGAGCAGTCATTTGACCGCTCGCCGTCTTTGTAGGTAGATGATTTTTTCCGTCTTTCTAGTGTTAACACTATATTCCAATCGTAAAACAATTTCATTGTCAGTTTTTTAAATTAATTTTTATTCTGTTACAAAAAAAAACATAATTACTTTGTGATGCAAACTTCTACTCACCAACATATTTAACTTCATCAAAGGCCTTTCTCGCTTTCTTTAGTTCTTCATTCATTGTTAGTAGATCTTTGACACGGGCATATTTGCGCTGGTCTTTTCGAACTAAGAAAATTATGTCTTCTACTTGTACTCTACCTGTGCGACCAACTTCCATTGCCCTGCAAACAATTGCCAATAAATCATTAGTAAAAAGGGTAGAGCCATGGTTGAAAAAGACGACTTAAAAGGGGCTTTGCCTTATTCCCACACTTAACAGGTAGCTTGGTATTCACAGTTAGGGCCCCAGATATTAAGAGGATACTATAACAGTCAAACTCCCATGGCTAGTCACAATATGAGGGTATACCCATGTCAAATAATATGAATTGTAATTATAACTGTACTTTTGAATATATGAAAAAGAAAACAGTAGTATGAGTAATTTATGCAAACAGAGGTTGGTATACGCACCTATGTGTGGTTTCTGTAATAAATTCAATGACGAGATCTTCTAAAAAGTCCACACTTTCAGTGTAAGGGTTCTGGTCATCACCGAAGCCATACATCATGCATCTTAATTCTTTGCTAAACAACCTTTTACGCCCAGATGCAGTAGCCCCCAGTTGCTGTTCAGTTTCTTCTTCGTCAAACTGAAAATAAGGGTCACCTTTTTAGACAACTTCAAAAAGAAGTTTATTTATGTACTTACACCAAATATAATACAGCTTCACACAAGAACACATTAAATATTATGAGGTGCATAGATAAGTACTGCATATTCCTGAAGGAATCTGTTCCTGCAGACCTGAGACAAGCAAAGCAATAATATAGGTAACACGAGACAGAGAAAGTCCTGAAGTTCAGCAGTACCTAAATAAATAATTCACAAACCTGGTCAAAATTATCTTGTGACTCAGGAGGAGTAGTCATTTTATACAATAATATTTCTCACTCACAAATAAGGAAGAAAGAATAGGTAAACTAAAGTGTTTCGCAGAACGTGTTTATTTTCGAATTTCTCGAATCAAAATGATGTGAATTGTCATGTCAAATCAAATGTCTGATTGTGATTTGTCAAACAAAACGAAACGTTTAAATTTTTGTCTATGGTATGCACAAATAGGTGTAAATATAATAAAAAAAATAATATTGATTTAATAATTAATTAAATCTAATATAATTCCTAACTAGGTTTTTGTAAGAACAGTCGATATTTTGTATTTGCTGTATCATTGCGTCAATAGAAACATATTGACCAGAGCATGACAACATTGATTGACATTGACAAAATATGACAGTACTGACAAGACAACTTCATGTCTAAAAAATGTTTGTTGATTTGATTGTTTTTTCAGGTTAGAATTAGAGACTAAATAATACTTAGAGATTTATTATGAAAATAGTTACCAAATTACCTACCGGTGTATTATTTCAATAAACAAGTGTGCCAAAACTTTAAGACAAAATGAATCCTATGACGTAAGTACAAGAATTATATTTATATAATTACCATGGTAAACCAAGTTGAACAAAGTACAAATTATTAAATAAATGTTACCTTAAAAGTTATGAAAGTATTTACAAACTAATGAAATATTAATCTTCAGTAAACACCTCGAAGTCATAAAAAGTTTAAAACTATTGCATATCTTTTAAACTATTGGACACTTCAGATAATTATAATTTCGATTGTTTTCGTTACATTTCAGTAATATGAAAAATGTGCTGAAGCTGAGTGAACGTGAACTTGGCAGTGGATCAAAGTCTTCATGGCACGACCAGTATAAGCATAGCGCTTGGATATTTATTGGAGGGTTGCCCTATGATCTTACAGAGGGCGATGTAATCTGCGTTTTTTCACAGTAAGTAAAATGATATTAAAATATCTAAAACCAATCTTAATGTTTGTGAGTTTGTGTATCAGTTTGTTACACAATCATGTCAAAACGGCTGAAGGGATTAATGAAATTTGGAACTTCGATAGATTATGGTCTGGAAGAACATATAGGGTACTTTTTATCCCATGGGAACCCAGGTGAAGTCGCACACAGAATCTAGTGATATATTATTATATGCTAATGACATAATTGTATACATTTGTCACTACTGCAGGTCTTTTTGTGGATGTCATGTCATATTATTATTTAACTGTCAAACACCGAGCGGTCACCGGTGACCGGAACCTATTGTTCTTTAATTGTGTCTATAATGACGGTACTCAACTAGTTAAGAGTCATCTTTTGGCCTACACCAGAGCTATCCAAACAAAGGGCTTTTTTTCATGTGGCCCGCGACACACATTTTAATCTCAACATCTTAGGTGCAACAACTATAAAAAAATTCAATGTATGATTTGTATATAAGTTTTGTCTATGAGTATAGGATACAATGTTAAATGTCATTATACAACTAAAAATATTATTCTGGCCTTCCAGCTTTTCAAGAAATTTATTTAGCCAGTGAGGGTATATAGTTTTTATAGCCCTGACCTACACATTTTACAGGCCAGTCCTCAGCACTCGTATTAAATGTACCTTTTAAACTGTCAAACACCAAGCGGTCACCGGTGACCGCAACCTATTGTTCTATAATTGTGACTATAATGACGGTACTTGATGAGTTAAACTGCATGTTACAACACTTACAACCTTAACAATATTTCTATAAATTTTCCTTTCTTTTCAGGTATGGTGAAATAGTAAACATAAACTTAGTTAGAGACAAAGGAACTGGGAAATCAAAGGGATTTGCATTTATATGTTACGAAGACCAACGTTCAACGGTGCTGGCTGTAGATAATTTAAATGGATTAAAAGTAAGTTATAGAAAATACCTATTTCAACAAAATTTTCAAGTAATAAAAGATCGATTTGACCACCAAAACAAGAAAGAAGTTTTAAATAACATGTTCTCATGTACATTCAAGTTTTTATTTTACCTAGAATTAAAATAGCTAATAATGTGCAAATTAATTAAATAAGACAACAAGAACCTTTCATTTTTATTGCAGACTGGCTGACCCAGCAATGTTTTTTCTGCCTTACAAACGAAAATCCATTTTTGTTTTTATAGATTTTATATTACCTACTTATTTCTTTCAGATTTTAAACAGGACTATTAGAGTGGATCACTGTGAACAGTACCGAGCACCAAATGCTGACATGTCAAAAGTAGATGATGTGACGGCCTCAATTAGAATGGAAGGCTGTGCTCCACTGATTGCTAGAAACCCTGAACCTGTTGTGAAAAAACAAGAAAATGAGGTATTATGACTAGTTACACTGTCAAACACCGCACGGTCACTAGTGACCTCAACCTATTGTTCTTTAATTGTGTCTATAATGACAGTACTCAACGAGTTAAATTTGAGAAGACTAATAAGACATTTTATTATAGCATAATTTGTAATCTCTTAACCTTGTTGATAATAATTATTTTTTGTAGGAAAAAGATTCCAGAGAAACAGTGAAAGAAGGCAAAGTAAAAAAGAAGAAAGATAAGAAAAGTAAAAAGAAAAAAGAAAAGAAAAGTAAAAAGAAGAAAAAGAAAAGAAGTAGAAGTTCATCATCAGATTCAGATTCTAGTGATTAATGTAGATAATGATAATCAAGTGATCAAAAGATAAGTAAAATGTTTTCTACAAAACGATATCTTTTATTTTGGAAACAATACATCACAGTTTACATAACATGCAACATAGAGATCATTTTAAAAATTAACATACTTGAATAATAATGACTAGATAAACATATTATTCAATACACATTCAAAACATTGGTTTTCAAAATCTTTAGATAAATATTCGAAAAAGATTAACACCTAATACATTTGAACAATATTTCGTTATAAATCTGCTCGTAGAATTAAACTGTAATACTTAAAACATGAATGACAACACTAGTTCTTATTCTAGTTTAGTTATTATCTGAATACTTTATTAAAGTCATTTTATGACGCCAATTCCATTGCATACATACTAAAATTGACAACTACCACTTAAACAAAAAGGTAGCATCAATTTTATTGTTTCAAATTTTGGTCAGCCCTACACATGACACAGGAGCTAACATTATAATACTAATCCTAAAAATAGATACTTTTTTTTCTACTCGAACTAGATGTGGAATCACAGGGAGGGATGGTTTTAACTTTAAATATTTTTTTTATAGAAAATTTAATTTTTAAGAATTTGCTTAATTTTTTCTAATGTTGCCACATCAGTGAAGGCAATGATGCCATCTTTGTTGCTATAGTGTTGTGGCTCCATGTGCATTTCATCGTTATAAGTGATGGGACCGTTAGTTGAAAAGCTGAGTAGGTCCCCACCCTTAGCTCGGAGGATAGAGTGGGGGGCACAAGTGTCCCAGCGGAAAGTTGTTCCTTGTGACATGATGTACGCTGTAGCTTCACCTGTAAAGGAAAAATATTTATGAGACATATTTTTGACATTACCTTCCAGATAAATCAACAAATAAAAATTTTTTCAACTTGTACAATTTTGTAGCTTGATGGTTAATATCCTATACAAGCTTGTAATTTCTAGTTGTGGAAGAATGTTTTTACCTATAGCAACTTTAAGAAGTTTGTGTCCAGCTCCAGGTGCTGACTTGACTTCCCACCCAGCCTGCTTGAATTTATCAGCAACTTCTGGCTTCTCAGCAGAACTGATCAGAATGATATTACTTTCATTGGTATCTGGAATGTCATTACCACCAGATTCACGGCTTCCTTTATAGTTTAAGCCCCATACTACTCGTCCCTTGCCGCTGCAAAATAAAACATACCATAATAAAAGCTGATAAAATAGGTTATCACTGAGAAAAAATTTTTAGTCTACTTTATCTTTACAAGCAAAAAGAGTTTTTAAAATTGATGAATAGAATTAAGATCTTACTTATTATAAAATGGTTGATTAATAACTCCAATAATGGGTTCTCCTGTGGACCTTAAATAGGCGCCTATGAGAACTGTGACACATGGAAGACCTCGATCTGCATCAGCACGGCCCTGTACTCCAGCTATAAACTCGGCAGTAGCATCTAAAACATACAAAAATTTATAAATTGTAGAATACTAATACTAGGATCAAATTACGAGTCGGTAGGTAGGATAATATAAGGAAAATATTAATTTTCCTGTCTACCTACCAATAGGATCAATCCAAATTCCCACATCAGATGTATCAATCTCTGGAATATTTGGTAAGTTATCACAAAATATATGCTCTGTGTCGCGATGAGCCGCTTCAGCCATTCGTTTTGCGACAGCGGGAGCTACCAAATACTGCAGAAGATCTGTGGTCCCTTCAATATTTTCGCGCAATTCAATTCTTACTCCACCAATCTCGGAACACTCTTCGCCTCTTACATGCTCTGCAAGTTCTGGGAAATGCCTCGCTATCTCAGTTTTAGCAGCTTCCTGAGCCAAAACATCTGCGATAGTTTTGAAATCTCTCTCGAAACGGGCGTTGGCGTCGCCATCAAACTTTTCTGCCACTAATAATACTTCATTCTTAGAACCAGCACAACAGGATCGAGCAACACACGCTGCCTTCTCCGATGCGTTTATAAGAGTCTCCAAAATATTTTTCATTTTCACAAGACTTCAAAACAGAATGAAAATGAAATCAATAATTGAATTTACTGAATTCGTCGGTAGGACATCTAAGTGTCATTGTCAAAATCAAGTGTCATATTTGTTTACGTTTAAAAATCAATAACATTAGAATAGAGATGCGACATTCGATATTTACACTAAAATCGACTAAATTTTAAGGTCGAGTGGTCACTAGACTAAAATTTCATAGACTATGTACGTCACGTTCACGATGTATACTAGGCTTAATATATGCGTCTCTCAGAGTTAACGATAGATGGCACTATTCATCATTTCTTTTTGCGAATATAGCGGATTAATTTAAGACTAGAAGTAAGTTATTGTAGCCATATTTATTGGTGGTCAATTAATTTGGTAAAGAATTATATAGGTTGGTATTAGGTACTAATTTTATGTTTGACTTTTATCGTTACCTTCAAATAAAATTATTACCTGGTTGTAGGCAACAAAATGTTTCTCACTTTTAAACAAGCAACATTTATACGTATCTGTACCTACTGAACTGCTTTTTCAGCCAGTCCTTATTTTTTGATACCTATAGATATTTTAGATATTCCCCGAGCAAAAAAAAAATGTTGTGGTTTCTTTTTTAACCCACTTCACAAAAAGAAGGACGTTCTCATTTTGACTTATGTATGTATGGTACCTATGTACCTATTAGCTTGCATGGATGTATCCGCGATTGTTTTGAGATTGCCTGGACCAATTTTGATGTAGTTTTAAAAAAAGTATCTATTTAATAGAGCAGATTTAAATTATAAAAAAAGTAAGTTGAAATTGGTTCTGTATACATAGTTTAATGAAGTAATAAATATTTTTTGAAGTTATAGAGGTAGGCCTACAAAAGCAATGAAAAGATTGACCTACCAATAAAGATCGGCATAAAGATATAAAATAAAAAAAAAAACAAATTCTTCAAATATTTCGTGCGCGACTGATATGAAATCGTTTTGTCATTTTTAATGAAAGTGTTCAAGGTTGTGGGGTATCAGCGCACGAGTGCAGTGGTAGAAGTGGTACTAACCAACATGAATGCGTGAAACTTGTCGTGAAACGGTGCGTGCTTGACCTTAAAGGCGCGTGCTGATCAAACTATTTTGTTAAATTCGTTAGTATATTGAATGAAGTATCGAATAAAGTGATACTATTTACGTTTGCGAGACGTGTTCCGATTTCCCGAAGTAGTTCATGAACACTGCCTAATTTGTACGGTATTCTAAAAAAATCTTTGCATGTGGGTAAGGTTCTGCAAAAATTGTATTTTGTAAGTTTATGGTACCTGATTGAATAAGTCATCTCGCCCTTTGTTTACCGAAGGGCTAGGCTGACACATTTTTGTGGTAGGTAGTAGGTACATAGCACTTACCTGGGTACTTTCGTGGTCAACTCGGGCTCTGACTCATTCGGTTTATAAGTGTTCAATCTAATTTTATTTCAGTAAATCGTTCCAACCTGGAACAATAAATTTAATGTAGGTAAATAGCTATTAGGTACCTACCTATTATAAAATTTCAATTTTATTATTTTCAATGAGCATTATTTTTTGTTAAGGATCATTGTGAAATACTTATTACTTTATTAGGTTTTTGACCGACTTTTGTTCTATACATAGATCCTTTCTCTTAGGTCTCCTGTCCTCACCTTGTGGTTTAATTATTTTATTAAAGTATTTTTTGGCTGCTGTCTACTTACTCATAAATTATTAATTACCGTGTTTATGTACGAAAAAATGTAACTGCTCGGTTGACGTAGTGGCTGGACGACCATCAGTAGGTACTGTGTGTCGCAACTTTACATAGTATGCATGATGATATGGGGACCTACCTATGTGAATATTTCTGTTTCTAAATGCTACCACGATATTGATGAAAATCCAAATGTGAATGAATGTCTACCCCATAGTAAGACATTCACCTACATTTGGATTTGGTCATGAACAGAGCGCAGCTCGCGGGCGGCTCGCGATCGGATCATTCGCAAAGCATTCCCCATACGTGGACGCACCCTAAAGATTGAGAAACTAGACATACACATTTAAAAACAAATTTCAATTAAGATTTCTTCCTTTATTAATATTTACAAAGATTAATTCCCCAAAATCATATACAGACGAGACACGAAACTATTCGCAGATCGTAGTAATTTTGAACCTACCGTATGTATGATTAACCCAACCACTGTTGCAGCCGCAGTCATAATGAAGTTATATAATATTCATCGAGTACTGAGGAAGCGTGATGGTAGGTGGGTAACTAGCTAATGAATTACTGAAAATATATTATATATAAAAATCCTGAACATATAATATACTGAAAATATATTATATAAAAAAATCCTAATAAGATATAAAGCTAAGCCTACTTTAAAGCTATATTACCTACTATTGATTACCTAAGTACCTACGAACATTAAGTTCCATTGTACCTACTTCAAATTATTGTCTTTCAGTTTATCTGTGTATTTAACGATTATTTGCTTTGTTAAACGAATGATAGATAGAGCTTACAAAATTGCATACTATATAAGTACTCTAGACTTTTCAAACAAAAATGTCCAGAAAGTAATTGTTCAATGCATTTCTTCATCTCTAACTAGGTTTCTATTAAAAACGAATGCTTTTGTGATAACTATTTAGTATCTAACTCTAGATGTTAATGTTGACTATAGTTATTTTACTTAACCACACAAATATCTACTATACTATGGAGTCTTACATAACGAAATGTTCTTACATAATCTTTATATTTATAGATATATAGTAGTACCATTGTGGTATTCATGATGTTAGCTGCATGAAATCTGCTGCTGAACAAAAACAAAAATTTTCAATAAATGTTCTTAATTTAACTCCGTCATACTTAGTAGGTACTTACTCTATCATAATAGAGTCATCATATACTTATATCATAAAACAGTCTATAGACTATAAACAGTCTATAGACTGTTTTAGATAGCTCTGATGCATTATCCATTTTTATTTCTTAAAAAAGATATCTAATCCCTATTGAGGGGTCGCGGAGAACCTAACGGGTTACCAGGGCTCCGGCTCGAAGCGCAGGAGAAGGCACAGGGTGGTTTTTAGTCAGTAAGACTGACACGCCCTCCTGCCTCACCCAGGCGGGAGCAGACTTTCGATAATTTTCTCCCCTTAAAAAAATCCCTATTGAGGACCTCCACCTTTATTTGAAGTCGGTTAAAAAAGATAGGATCCACTTAGAGAGGACTGGAAAAGAGGAAAAACGACAGCTCCTAGCGATAGCAGAGAATGAAACAAGATAGTCTTAATAACTGTCCTATCATTGGTTACCCTAAACTAAGCAGGTACCTACCTAGTGTATCTACCTAAATAAGAAGTTCACGTAAAAAATGTGATGACGAAATGATTGAGCAAAGATTGTGGACACGTCGTTATACGCACACATTGGATTTAGCAATGACCACAACAAATCAACATTGTTATTACCATTTACCTCTATTATGTCTACGCGTCTCAATCGTTGATTCGTTGCTCTAGATTTGGATATGAAGCATTTGGCATTTGTCATTAAGGGCCACTATTCCATGTCATTTGTAGCCCAGAGTCGACATTAAGGAACTAGGTACCTGTATATACCGTGAAATATATTTCGTTTTCGTCCCGAAGTAAAATGGTTCTGTCTCGATAATACAATAGTTTTACAAAAAATAAATAAAAAAAATGTTAAAAACAGAAAATAAGTGGTAAACCATTGCAAAAAGCAAACTTCTAAAGTGCATACGTACTTATAGTACCTATACATGTAGGTAATGAAAACATCATGCCATGTAATTCTCGAAGAGGTATTTCTCGGAGAGTGGCACGTGCGATGCGAAAAGTGCCTATAAATTGACATCTAGTGTGACATTTGTGCGAAATTCAATGAATTTTGTTTTTAAACTATAAAAAATAAGGTATTTAATTTTTTGTTTTTACTTTATACATCGAAAGTACCTACTCCTTACCTATGGCAAGTTGTTTTGCCGCGGGACGAAAATGAAATAAATTTCACGGTGTATAGAAAGAAAGAAAGAAAAATAATTTATTCGCCATGGACATATACATGGACCACCGAAAATTAACATACAACATTAAAACACAAAAATAAATAGAAAACAAAATAAAAAACATAAAATAACAAAAAAAAAAACAACAAAGAAGGCAAAAAAAAAAAACATTATAAAAAAAGCAAAATAAAAGAAACAGGATGGCAGCATGTCCACGACGAAAGGGCTCGCCAACTCAGTCTAAGCTGGGCACAGTAAGTACCCAACACTGATACACACTATAGGTACACTATACCTCTACAGTTGACAGATACCAGACAGCAGCATTCTCTGATTATATCCTACTAGGCTATTCTGTAACTATGAATTCCAATTTTCGAAGTAAGCTGGATCGCATTTTCAGCGCGTCATTTGTCTAGATTATTCTTACAACCTATGACATGGCCGACCGCGATCGAGCTCACCTGGGTATGAAAATTAAAAATCTTCATACTCAGATCGATATTATCTAGTTATGGGTAATGTACCTACCGAATTAGTTGTATGTAATACTTCTTATTATATGTACATTGTGCAATTTGTCTTCGATTTACAACTTTGCCAAGTTCGGACATGCAAACTCTCTTCCCATAGATCCCGAGCTCATCATAACCCAGCAATGGAAGGTCACGGACACGTAGCCCATCCTTCTGAAAGGTTCTATTTGAGTTCTATTTCAGTCAACAAAATAGACAACAACCAAGTTACCATGGTATCAACACGTCATGTGAAACGAATTTGTAGTGAAATGAGATTCAGAATCGTGACGTGCAAACTAATGTTATCATTAAACTTTCATTACATATTTAGTTAGATTTAGACGGTTTATTCAACGCTATTTCAGCTGAAATAGCATTGAAAATGGCTACACTAGAAATAGCTAAAGAAGATATTAATTTCAACGTACCTAAGTACCTACATAAATTAGAATAAATTAATGGGCCAGTAAATAGCTGAATTAAGTCATAAAAGTAAATAGATACAGTA